AAAGGCCCCCCCCGGCCGGCAGCGGGTCTAGCATTGTGGGAATGCTGGCGATGCCAACATGAGGCTGTACTGGCCGCAGCTGGCTGTGGCTTGTGTCCTCCTGTGTCCAGGCTTTCAGCTCTGCGCTTTCCCAGGACATTCGCATCTGTGTTTTCTATCCCTCTCCCTCCTTTCCCCAAATTTATTTTTGGTTCTGACCCATGCTTTGGCCGTTGCTGAGTGAGGCAGTCCTGGGACAGAGCCCATTCTCCTGCATCCACGCACCCTGCTGCACTGCCCCGTTCCCAGAGCTGGCCGATTTGCAGCCAGGCATTACTGCCTTGATCTGCCCTCACTGCTTGGGGGTGGCAGCACCCCCTGCCAGCGCAGCCAGGCTCCCCCATGGGCCTCGGCAGCTCTATTGCCAGGTGAGGATGGGTGGGCTCGTCCCTGGAGCTGGGCCTTCTGCCAAGCCTTGTGTGGTGGGGCTGGGGGGTGGCACGAGGCTCCTCTCCTGGGGACCAGCTCTGGCCCCGGCAGCGCCTGTGGGTCACACGAGGTTGCTCCAGTCCCTGAGAAACCCCGTGAATTATGAACAGACCAAGTTCATAGGGTGGCCTCAGTGCTGCTGGATGTGGAGTCACTTGGTGCCCTTGGCAAAGCCTTTCAGCGTGGGGAGAGGCGACAGTGGTTGCTTGTAATGCTCACGGCAGGACGGGGACTGCAGCGGTGGGCAGCCCAAAGCTGCTCCTGCCCAAGCCCCTCGGTGGCTGCTAAGCCAGAACTTGCTGGTGCAGGCAGCAGCCCCTTTCCTACTGCAGCACATGGGCCTGGCCTGCCTCTTGCCTGCCATCTCCTGCCTGTCCCCAGCAGCCCGGCAGAAATGTCAGAAGCCAGAGGTCAGCGGCTCTCTCCTGAGGTGTCCTGAGGGGTAGGTGGGCCAAGGGGAGCTGCCACAGGACCGGACTGAATTTTGCAAATGTGCAAATTTGTACAGATCTTGACTATGGAATGAAACTGTTCTTTTGGTATTTGTTGAAGGGAAGAAAATCCTTCTGTCTCTTGCTGTGTCTAATATCAAGTTCTGTAAATAACGAATCCATCTGAAAGAATAAAGCTATCCTGTAGCGGCAGCCCAGGGAGAGAGTGTGCGAGGGAAGGGAGCGGGGCAGCTGGGAGCAGAGAGTGTCAGCACTGGGCCACCTTGTCCTCACTGGCAGCTCTTCTGTGGTGCTAAAAACTTGAGGTAAGTGTCGGGATTGCAACAACAACAGGTGAGGTGATGCTGGTGGGGTCAAGCTTGATTTATTGACACAGCTTGGAGGGCAGGAGGAGAGGGGGAGCGGCTCGTGCTGCTTACCTCCGCACAGGATGGCTCAGGCCCTCAGCGGGGATGGTTTCCTGGGCTGGGTGGGTTTTCGGGCTAGAAGTCCAGGGCACAGATCAAGGCTGTACCCCGTTTGATCCAGTGTTTCTGTGGCTTGTCTGTAGGGATCTCCACAGCAATCACGTAGTTGGTGGAGTGGCCCGTTGTTGACAGCATGCCTGTAACAGGAAGCAAGGGCAGGAGAGTGGTACTGCAGGAGTCCCTTAAAGTGATGCCATGCGAGATCCCCTGTCCCATCCCCGTGTTAGGTGACGGGCTGGGGGAAAGGCTTGTGTATTAAATTGGGTGTGGGCTGCAGGAGAGCTTGGCCAGAGTCACTGCTGCATAGCCAGGGTGCCTGCCTGCTCCATCTCCACGACCACAGCAGGAGAAATCCTGTTTTCCCTTGATGGTCTCAGCCAACAGTGCCTCGCTCCATGTCAGTGTGTGGCAGGAGGAGGAGGAGGAGCCCCTGCGGCCTCTCGTGGGCTGTCCTTCCTAACTGCTTCTACAATCCCCTGGGCTTCTGGAGTTCTGTCTTTAGGGCACCTACCAGCACGAGTGAGAGTCTTATAGATGGGGCACAGGTAGGTGCCAGTGGCTGGAGGCTTGCGGTTGGGGACAGGAAGCAGCCAGATGACGGCCATCTCCGTGTAAAGCTCCTTGGGGCGCGACTCCGCTAACTGAAACGTGGCAGGGTCCCAGCGGGCGCCTTCGAGAAACAAGCCATGGATGTAGCAGCCTTGGTCGGGATGGTGAGTGAGCTCACTCACTGACTCCTTCATTACCTGCAGAGAGGAGCAGGCCCTGATCAGGACGTGTCCCTGGAGGCTCGGCCCCAAGGACCCCCTTAAGCTGCTCTTAGCTAAGTCAACGCTGCTCCAGGAAAGCCTGCCCCAGCTATCAGATGGGCTGGGCTGGGTTTTCTGGCATCTTGCACCATGAGGCTGTGGGGCAGCCTGTGCAAAGCCTGCGGAGAGGGATGTGAGCAGGTCTAGAGAGGCAGAGAGGTCTCCTTGCCTTGTGGAGGTATCTGGCACTGTGGGTGGGTGTCTCTGAGCACAAAGGGGATGATGGGGTCCATGGACAGCTAGTGGCTTCACCTCTTGGGCAGGTCAGGGCTGGAACTGCTACTTTTGTGGTCCTCTAGCAGCAGATTCCAGAAAAATCCAGAGTCTCTGGCTGACTTACTGACCTTGAAGCTGAATGAGATGGTATCGATGGAGATGACGGACTTCCTGGCAAAGTTCTGCAGTGTCCCGGTGAGGAAAGCCTGGGGGAAGAAGAGCCCACTGATCCAGAACACAGAGGGGATCCCATGGGTGATCCATTTCTGCAAGAACTCGATCCGCTGTACCAAGTCGTTCACCCAGGATGCCAAGGGCTTCAGCGACGGGTAGGCCTGGGGGGCAAGGAAGGCATTGAAGGCATGCAAGGACCCCCTAGACCTTGTGCCCCAGCTGCTCACAGCTGCCCAGAGCCCAGGGATTCATCTGGCCTGGGAACAACTGGAAGCTGAACTAGGCAGGAGACATCTCCATGCCAGGGGAGCAGGAACCAGTTCCACATGAGACAGCCCAGTTCCCCTGGTTCGGGTGAGCTCCTGCAGGCAGCTGGGCTGGCCGGGGCACGTACCTTGGCATTCCACATCTCGGGGACAGCATTGTGGTACAAGCTGCTGGCCATCAGCTCCAGCTGAGAGGACATCACGACCAGGCCCTTGAGAGCTTTCAGCAAATCCTTCAGTGTCTGAGCAATCACCTCCAGGAGCTTGTTGTACCTACAGAGAAAGAGCAGAGGGATCTGAGTGACTTGGTGCAGTGGTTTATTGTCCACATCTGGCCAGAGAGGGCCTGGATCTCTGCACAATGGGTGAAGCACCTCCATGTAACCCTCAGCCCCAGTCCTCTTTAACGGGGGGGGGGTCTCATAGCTGCCCCCCCAAGCCCTGGATTGCTCACAGCAGCAGATGGAGACACTGCTCAGTCCCTGCAGGACAGGGACCAGCCAAAGGCTCTGGCTGGGACAACGCAGCTGTTACTGTTGCTGCTGTGCTCAGCAATGAGGTTCCTGAAGGTGGGTGGGAGCAGGGGCCCGCACACCTCTGCTGTTCCCCAAGGGAACACTGGCCCAGGACGTGATCCTGCAAGGATTTTACCTGATCACCTCCTGTACCAGCACGGTGTTCATGGACTCTTCATAGAGCAGCGGGTATTTGTGGATCACCTCCTGCAGGTTCATGGGGGCAGGCAGCTTTGCCAGGATGTCGTTAGAGGTCTCCTCCACGAGCTGGAAGGAAGACAGCACGTACATGATGGGTGAGCATCCTGCCAGCCACGGCTGCTGAGAAGGGGGGAGGCTCACACCTGGATGGCAGTGCCACTGCGGGCACCAGGAGGCAGGGAGGCACCTGCTGAGAGCTGCTGTTTGTGCTCGCTGCCTGCGCCGGGCACTGGCTGACAGAGCACTGATGGGATCGGAGCACCCACCTCCTCCCTGCTGCAGCCTCCCAGCGTGAAGGTCTTGGGTTGCAGCTGTGTAATGGCCCCCAGCAGAGCAAAGGTCTCGTTCTGAGCGAAGGCGATGTTGGCGTTGTCATGTAAACCAAAGAGCTCTGGGCTGTCGTTGAGTGGCAGGCTCTTGATGTACTGGAGGTAGCCCTGGAGAGGAATCCACACAGGCTGTGAGGCCAAGAGCATGGGGATAAAGCTGTGGTGCCCCTTTGGGCTGCTATGGGCCTCGCCCGAAAGAAATGACTAAGCCAGGGTTGCTGGATAAGCTAAACCCAGCAGATCACAGACCTGCAGGTTCAGTTGGGAGATATTCCTTGTCTCATTGTTTGAGTTTCATTCATCTGACTTTTACACAGCTCCTGTCACAGCCAGGAAACCTAACTTGCAGCTTTGATTTAGGGACAGCTTCTGCATGCCCTAAGCAATACTGGCTGATGCAGGACTCGGGCTGCTGGGGAGGCTGAGGGGGTGGCAGCTCCTCTGAGCCCGGTTTGGTGGCTGAGCAGAGGCCATGGCCATCGTTTGTGGTCTGGCTGGGGAGTTAAATTGTGTTTGTGTGGAAGCAAACACATGCTATGAGAACAGGCAGCTTGGCAGTGAGCTTCCTGCCATGTCTCCTGCAGAGCTCCTCGGGTACTTTAGGCATGTGGTATCAAAATGATTCAGAGTACAAAAGCTTTCAGCTGGGGAACTCTGATGATAGCTGCTACCACCTTCTGTGCACAGGGACAAGATTTTCCTCCTGCTGCTTGAAACAGATGCAGCTTCCTGAAAGCAGCTGAAGATCCCTAGGTTCTTACAAACTTACATTCCCCCAGGGAATTGGAAATGCAGTGTGTTTCAGGGAGGAGTAGATCCCCTTTGCACTATGAGGATCCCCCTGGATCTATGAGTTGCAATTTGTTACTGGAGTGCTTACATCGAGGTCAGAAGAGGTACTGATCTGCCTGTAGATCCCCGATTCAGAATACGCAAACTCAGGAATCAGAACCTCAGGTTTGTAGAAATCTTCCAAAATATTCATGATGCAGCGCCTGTCCCAGTCATCAGTCACACGGCCACCGTAGTTGATCTCCCCAGCCGTGTACTTCAGAACCTGCAAGGGACCCCGCTGCGGCTTGCCAACCTGCACCTGCATCGTGAGGCTGTTCCCTCTGTGGGGGGACAGCTCACATGCTTACCTTGTACGGGATGTCTGCATATTCGCTCAAGAACATCTGTAGCTGACTGATGCAGATGCGGAGGTCTCCATCTGTGAACTCATAGGGGATGTTGAACCCCAGAGGCCCAAACTTTCTCCTCTCTAGCATGTTCCCATGGAAGAAGCAAAGTGACAGCAACAAAGATTTAAACTCTGTGACCTGTGGGCAGGGACAGGAGGTGCTCAGCTTGGGAGGAACCATCCTCTGCTGGGAGCTGGCAGAGGAGATGTGCCAATTCAGCAATGCCAGCTGGAGCCTGGAGGGGTGGAAACCTCAGTCAGGCTGCTGTGCTGGGGAAGGCTGTGGCCCACTCCTTTGCTTAGAGAGAGCTGCAAGTGTCTTACACCAGGCCTCCACAATGCTGTTGCTTCTGTTTTTCAAAGTGAAACTTCTAATTGCTTCATCAGAGAGTAGATGTGGGCTTGTGAAAAATACCACCAGCCCTTTGCTAGCATGTGAGCTCTAGAGGAGAGGAAGATCTATGCCTGGGGAGGAGCAACATCCAGGTGGAGAACATACATTGGAGCAGGCACAGGCTGCGGACAGCAAACCAAAGCACGGCCTGGGTCTTACCTTTGGGCAAGAATTCAAGAAGTCATCACTGAAACTGATGTAGGACTTGAGCAGGTTGGCCTTGACCCCACGGGGGGGCTCGACAGTCATCTTGGAGCCATTCTGGAGGATGGACACAGGGAAGTGCTTGCTCGGTAGACTGGTGAGCCAGAGGCGAAAATCCTGATGCACCTGGAAATCCAGAAGGCAGCAAGTGCTCGGAGGATGCAGGCACAGCCACTGCAGCTGCTCCTGCACCCATCCTCTGGTTGTACAGGGAACCTGTGCATGGGACAGAACTAGATCTGGGCTCCTCCCAGGGCTCCAGCCTCCTGCCTGTCAACCTCCAAGCATGCAGGCTGCTCAGTAAAACTGCTCACCTTGCTGGCGTCAATGCCCTCGATGAGTCTCTCCAGTGCAGGCATCCAGCTGGGGGCCAGATGGCAGTTCTGAAAGAAGACCCAGTTGCCCTGCTCCATGGCACTGTTCATCATGGCTTCAGCACGAGGGCCCTGGGGGGGGCAGACAAGACGAGCTGAGAGACCCTGGTCCATTGCGGGCTGTGCCCTGCTGAGCTGGACAGGGAGACAGCTGCTGGGCAGAAGGACTGCTTCCCAGAGCTACAGCCTGGCTTTGTCCCCTCGGCTCAACTGGATCTTTGCTGTCTGACAGCACAGCAAAGGCCCTTTTGCAGCTTTTGCAAGTCTGTGTGGGAGGGTGGAGGGAAGGGAAGAACTGGGGCTGGATTCGGGAAGTTAGTGGACTCTATAGGGGGAACCACTGCAGGCCCCCCACCAAACTGGCTCCTCCAGCTAGCAGAAGGTTGATGAGTAAGGGCTCTGGGGCAGGAAGGTGTTTTCATTGTGCTGCAAAGGTGTTTGACCTGCTTGGGGCTAGGTGAGATTGCTGGGAGTGCCAGCAGGACGGTGCTGCCCCAGGTGACCACCGGCAGCTTACCTGGCCTTGGCCTAGAGAAATGGCAGAGAGCTTTTGGGAGAACTTCATTTGTTCAGCAAACTTGTACAGTTCGGCAGCAGGGTCAGTGCCCGGGGACAGCACGAACACCAGCGGGGTGGTGGCGGTGGATTCCCTGAAGACGACTGAGAGGTCAGTGGTCTGCAACATAGAAAGCTGGTCAGAGCAGAGGGGCCACAGTGGCACCACATGCAGCACCTCCTCACCCTGCCTGGCCTCCAGCTCCTCTCCAAGGCATCGGCGTGCTTTTGGATGCTGAGGCCCGAAACACGTCCTGTACAGCTCTATTCTGGCAGCATTAGGATCAGGGCAGTAACCTCTTTCCCATTTGTCATTCAAACTCTTCCCTTGTATGCCTGCACTATCTGCCCCTCCCACTGTGGTTTAACTGGTGGACATTAGGTAGGATATCCCTTGTCTAAGACATAAGTGTTTCCCCAGCTGTGGGAACACTACAGCTGCGGGGAGGCATGAGGACCCTCACTGCAACCGGAAAATGCTGATGGCCCACTTACAGCAAGCTCGAGGCCTCCCGCTCTGCTCCTGGCCCCACCAGCACATCCTTTTGGCTGGTTACCTGTGGCTCAATGAAGCGCCGATCCAGGTTCAGCGCCACAAAGTCCTGCATGGCATTGGTGATCTTATCTCCCCGCAGACACCGCAGAACCAGCAGCTTCTGGAAGGCATCAAGCTCAGCTTCCCATTTCCCCGGCAGGGGCTCTCTGCAAAGCAATTAGATGCATTTTACAGGGATGTGCCAGATGCTGCAGCTTCCCCAAGAAGCACCCAAGTTGCCTGCAGGCAGCCACTGGGGTTTCAGAAGGGACAAGGACCTTCCAGTCACTTGGCTGAGGTTGTTGTCTCTAGCTTTGAAACCATCAGCAGGCATGCCAGAGCTGCTTCCACTGGGGAAGCGCCACTTACTCCTGGGTTTAAGGCATCACGCGGCTCTGCCTTGGCAAGCAACATACACAGGCAAGGGCCACCCTCGAGGAGACAAGGCGATGCCTTGTGTGGCATGGCACTGACTGTGAGCAGAGCCAGCACTGTGGCTGTCGGCTCCTTGTGCTCTCCCAGGGATGCTGTTACCTGCCGGGTGCAGTACAGCTAAGCTGAAAAAGCAGGGGGCACTTGCCTGTGAGGCTTGGGGCTGTCAAAAATGGCCCTGAATGCTGCTAGGTTGGCTGCAACATCATTGGCAAAGCCAGAGAAGTTCTTCAGGTTGCTCAAGGCCAGGATGTCTCCCCACGCTCTCTCGTACAGCCAGGCTGGAGCTGGGTTCTCCCGCATCTCCTTTATGGTCCCTCCTGACAGCAGGTACCGCCACTCGTCCTGGGAACAGGACAGGACATGGTGATGGATCATAGCCTACCTGCCTGGGCCTGAGGCACATAGGTTTGTGCCATATCCAAGTAAAATCCTGTAGTAACATTCTGGCTGCCTCTCCTGCCACGTGTGTGCATTGAGGAGTAAGTGAACTGGAGGATCTGGTGAGATCAGCATCACTGCTCAGCTGCCACTAGCTTTTCTCTGTCTTCTAATCCCTGCCTGCTCCCTCTGCACTTGCTAACCTTTGCAGCAGTCTGGCAGCAAACTCGCAAAAGCTGCAGGTGATTCAGCTCTGCGTATAGACACAGGGAAAGCTTTAAGATCTGAGTGAAGAGAGAGGCCCTGGGTTTGCCCACCAGCCTGCCGAGCCTGCCCCCAGCCCCAGGGAACAAGGCTCCTCTTCCACCCCGGCACGCTATTCAAGGGGACTGAACAGGCTGGGCTTGAGTTGCTCTGATGGGATCCCATCGGAGGACCAAGGTGACTTGCTCACCATATCGATCTGCCCATCATTCATCAGAATCCGGACGCAAACCAGGAAGGCAAACATGAGCTTGTGCTTCTCGAAGAGGCTACGGCACACATTGCTGTAGAGACTGAAGGTGATGTAGTTGTTGATGTTCACGATCCGGTCCTTCAGGGTGTCTGAAAAAAAGGCAACAACCAGACAAGGGTGATGGGTGCTACACATGACACGGAGGGTAATCTCCACATCAGCTGTCAGTGCCCAGTCAGGGGGGCACACCTGCATCCTGCCCAGGAAGAACAGACGCTGCTCTCAAATATAGACCTGGCACAGAAACCCCTGTGAAAGCACAAGGCTGTGCAACTCAGCACACAGAAGAAACCACTGTCCCAGCACCACTGCACTGCACTGCGGCAGCCTACACGGGCCCAGCCACCACCATCCTGGCTAACACGCGCTGCAGGGTGGGGAAAGCTGCCCCCAGCCTGGCAGCAGCAGCCAGGGCCTGTTTGTGGAGGCACACAAGTGTGACAAGTAGAGCCACACCATTACCAGATGGCTCGTACCGTGCCCGTGCCCTGGCACTGACATCCCTCCTGCCTGGTCCGACAGGGCAGCAGAGAAGTAGTGGGGAAGAGAACGAAGGGCAGGCTGCGACCACATCTTCCCTCGCTGTGTGGGCACAGCTAGGGGCAGCTCTGGACCATGCTGAGAGCCAACGCAAGTGGCCACGTCTGCCTTGGCTCTGCAGGTGTCCTAGCTTCTGCTGCTGCTAGACCAGGAACGTGGGGTAAGGAAGAGGATAGGAGGGGCTGTTTTGGGCAGGCACCTGCTCTCTCGGAGTTACTGATCCCCATTAGGAAGATGTTGAGGAACCACTCAAGTGAGTACTGGTACATGGGGTCCACGTTACACAGGTCTGAGACACAGAAGTAGAGGATCTGTGAGCGGACGGCCACAGGCACATACTGCAGGCGGGTGATGTTGATGTCCTTCTCTGTCTGCTCTGCCACCATAACCTTGGCCTGGGGGACAGAGGAGATCTCATGGTTAGTGCAGTGCTAGCAGGGGATGCACAGCTGCAGGGGGAGAGCACCTCTGCCTCTGACCTGGATCTCTCCTGCCTTGATCTTGGACGCCTCCAGCACTTTGATGAGCTCCAAGTCATCTACAGGGTTTCCTTCAGAAGTGCTGAGCCGATACAGGATCTGGTCTTCTATCTTCTTCAGCTCCTGATGCATCTCAGCATTGCTAACAATTAGCTGGTTTCTAGCTTCTTCTAAGTCAGGCCGCTCCGCAGCCACCACTTCTCCCAGTAGTTGGTCTTCCAAGCCACTACAACAAAAGCCATGGAGGTGAGGGTGGGGGCAACAGGCCCGAGGGTTTGAGGACTGTGAGGAATGAGGCTGAGCAGCGTGGGCAGCTAATGGGGTCAGCAGGTACCTGGGCGAGAGGGTGAAGTTGATAAGGGTGAGCTTTGTGGAGACCTCGGGGCTGTAGTGAGGGTTGGGCAGGTTGGTGGTGATGTACATCTTGAAATCCTCATGGTAGGGGATCACTGTATCCCCCAGCTTCAGCACAGTGTTGCCTTGCTGTTTGTAGGTCTGTAACAAAGACAGACAAATACAGGAAGGCTGGGACGGCTACCTCTTGTGAGGGAAGGCATCCTGCTGTGCCCTGGGCTCTGCAGTGAGGACAGAGTCTGAAGGCTCTCTGGACAGGGGAGCTCAAAGCTGTGTGGCAGACCTGAAGGCCTGAACCCAAATACAGTGGCTGCATCCCATGGCCCTGCCTCCGAGGCAAAGATGCCTGCTGGCAGGAGACTGGGCTGTGCAGGAGGCCGCCAACATGTTGGAACCCTGGCCAAGACCTGCGAGCACAGAACAGGCAGCATCCATGTGAGTGCTGCCTGCCCAGAGAGACCTACAAAGCCACCGCATCCCACTGCACCCTGGCCAGTTGCCCCCTACAGCCCAGCCAGGTACCCGCTGCCCCTCCTTGCCAAGGCGAGACAGGACCTGTTTCAGCAGAACAGGCTCGAGGGCTGGATCCAGCTCCTCGCCGACATTCTCCAGCAGGAAGGGCTTCCCGAAGGTAATGGCATTTTCCAGACTGCAGAGAAAGTCCCGGTCGCTCAGCTTGGCCACCTCCAGGCTGTTCCCCTTCTCCTGCAAGGCAGCAGATGAGGGCAGGGTCCCTGCGGCGTCCTGCCTACCTTTGCATCCAGCTCTGGTGCGTGGTACACCTCTCACTGGGCTGATTTAGCTCTCCAGCACAGCAGAAATAACACATTTTCTTGCTCAGCTAGTTTTCGGCTATTTTGGTAAGCTTAGCCCATGATCACCAGGCACCAGAGGCAGCCCAACAAGGCAGCAGGAAGGGGCAATAGTGAGAACCTCCTTCAAAGAGCCATGTCCCTACAGAGCATGGTTATGCTGGTAACTCAGAGCTTGTTTGCCTGCAAAGTAAGAGCAGGTGGGTAGGAAAAGCCTTCGGGGAGCAAAACAGGAGCAGCTGCCCAAGCCTCCTGCCTGAGCCTTCAAAAGGGCAGTGGGTGGTTTTGTTCTGGGAGAGAAGTGGTGGTTTGTGTCTGTAGTGCTCTAGCAGCAGGAACTGTGCTCACTAGCCAGGTAATGTTACCCTGATCCTTTCTGTCCTAGGGACCCTAAAGGCTGTTATGGGTGTTGCTAGTGTTGCTCTGTGTGTTTTAGAGTGTGGTGAAGGATGTAAGGCCCCCAGAATGCTAGTGGGGAGCCAGAATGGGAATCTGATGCCTTGCTTGCTTATAGGGGCCCTGATCCTGCCCTGTGCTGATTTCCCCAAGCAGAGAAGTCCAACTGGGATGGACATGGATGTGGAGCTTGTCTAGTGCTGGGCAGGCTGGGCTGGGACAGTGGGGGGTCTTGCAGCTGTGGAGCCCAAAGCCTGAGGCTGCTCTGTGCAACTAACAGAAAGCTGCTCCCCCTATCCTGGCAGACCTGGTTTTCCTCCCCACAGCTCTTACCAGATTCTTGATCCACTTGTTTGCTTGTCCCTGGGGATCTATGTAGTGAGTCCAGCGCTGTGAGAATTGTGCTATTACCCCATTCTCCACAGACAGGGTGTCGTTGGGTAAGCCAGCAATCTAATGGGGCAGAAAAAGCTGTTGGGAACACCTGGTAGCACAACACAGCTAATCAGAGAGAAGCCCTTTCTGCCCTGACCCCTGCATGGTCCCAGTGTGTGGACAGGGGATGGTGGTGAGGGTACCAGAGCAGCTGAGCCACAGGACAGAGCTGTACTGGCAGAGTTAGGCTTGGGTAGGCTATGGCCAGGGCTTTGCTCTAAGCTTGTGGTTTGTAAAGGGGAAGCCTTATGAGTTAAGTCTGATGCTCTCAGAGCTGCTGTTGCTGCCGGGTCCTCTCCTGCTCATTGCGCAAGGCGCCCTGGCAGCAATTCCAGTTCTGTAGTGTGGAGGTGCTTGGTCATTACTGAGCTGTTTGGTTTGGGGTCTGTCCTTTGGCACAGGTGACCCTAGTGAGTGGTGAGCTGTGTTTTAGCCTTTGCCTGAGGCACCTCAGCCTGAAGTGTTGGGTTTTTCTGCAACTTGCCTGCCAGGAGCGGATTTCCACGGGGTCTCCAAGGGTGCTGATCAGGCTTGGCTCCTTGGTGTGAGGAATGTTTTTTTCTGACAGCTGCCTCAGCCACTCCTTGCACAGTGCTGCACGGTAGTGTCCCTGCCACGAGAAGCATCATCGTAGCCTTTCTTTTAGCTACAGCGAGCCTGCTGTGCACATCTAAACCCTCCTGTTTCCATTTCAATGGAACCCTGTGCAGCCTCTGGTACAAATGGAGAGAGACCCAGGAGAGACCTTGCACCCTCTTGCCCTATTCCTTTCTCCCAGTGGATCTGGCCAGCAACAGCAAGAGGCTGGGAGAGCAGAGCAGCTAACTGAGCCCCTCGCGCGGAGCATTGCACACTTACTGTAAAAGGGCCCAGGTAGGCCACAAAGCCAGCTGCAATCAGCACGTCCCCAGTGACGTTATCGATCTTGTAATCCAGGTTCTCTACAGTGTCCTGCCAGCGCACCTTCTCATCAGCCAAGCTGTTTATGAGCTGTGGGAGAAGTTGCACACATGAGAGCTGCTGTGTGGTCTAACCCTGTATCCTGGACCTGCTGCTCTCTGGGTGATGCTGCAGGTGAGCAGAGGTTGCAGGGTGGCCCCTGCCATATCTTGAATTCTGTTCCTAGCTTTGAACACTTAATCCTGGGATTACTGGGCTGCTCTTGGCTGTCCTGGAGACCCATTGCTGGCTGAAGAAGCTGTGCACAGGAGGACAGCAGTTTTTCACACCAGTGCCTGGCTAGCTTAGCTTCCCCCTTCCTGTTGTGCTGCTGAGACCTGGCCAGGCAGCTTCAACCTAGGATTGTCATGAGTTGCAGGCACACAGAGGTTTTCACCACTCTGCTTCTTGACCTGAAATCAGGTTGTCTCATGTAAGCAGGCAGAACCCAGTTCTGTCCCTTACCGTATTGGCACGGCCCAGTCTCTGCTGGCACTGCTCACACTTCATCTCCAACTCTTCCTTCTTGGCTATGCAGACCTTGTACTTGGATTGCAGTATGGCAATGCCACCTTCAACCTCCCTCAGGTGTTCCTTAGCTTCCTCAAGGACCTGCTGAGTGGCACGCAGGTCCTCTTCTGCCTCCTGCCAGGCTCGCTGGGGACATGCACAAGGAAATGGTTGGTATGTGGCCAGGCTCTTCCCCCAAAAGCCAGATATCTTGGAGCAAGAGTCAGTTCTCCATAAAAGCTTTAGCTGATACTGAGATCCTTCCCTGTATGACAAAGGTTGACCTGTCTAACTCCAGAGGGATGTTCTGCAAGCCCAGGAATAAAGGTAGGGCTGAGGAGGGCATTTCTGCATAGCTCCAAAAAGCCAAGAGCCTGTGCTAGCTTACACAAGCTCAGGATGTGGCCCACTGTTGAACAGGAAGAAAGGCTCCTCGGCTTGCCCCAAAATAATAATAAAGGAATAGCTAGGCTTGGAGAGGATTAAGGCTGTAACACTACTGAGATGTGGGAATGCTTCTGTAAGTACAGCTTCTGCTGAGTCAGGAACTCAGCACTAAGAACAAGGTATCGCTTCTGTCCCAGCATATTCTAGGCTGACTTCTCCTAATTTATTATGTTAATGGGTGTTGAGGCTTTGGCTCTGTTAAGGCTTCGTCTGAACATTATGTCTTGACATGCAGAACATGGTGACTCTCAGCAGCTCCTGCAGAAAGGGGCTGCTAGTACTGTGTTCCCTAGAGCAACCGGGTCGCGCTGCCTCTTACCCGCTTTGGCTCCACAACCTTGGCCACAAAGTGGTACTTGTGCATGGCACGCACCCACTGGCAGATGGAGGTACAAGCTTTGGAGACCTTGGCGATGGCAGCTGGCTGAAACTCCTCACTGTCAATGTAGGGCTGGATGGCCCTGATAACAGTGTCTGCAATATTGTCCTGCAATGGTAGGAGAGAAAGGAGATCGGTGATGAGGGTTTTAGATGTCTGGCTGAGGAGGGTCTTAAAGGGCTTTCCCCAGTGGCTGCAGCCTGCCCCAGCACGTGGCAGGGGGGTTAAGGCATTGCACTGGAGAAAGAAGAATCAAATTGCTGCATGCTGAGGCCTGGGAGGCATGGCTGTGGGACTAGGTAAGTCCCTTCCTATACCACTTCCATCCAGCTCCTCCACGTGGAAAGAGCAGAGGGACAGAAGGGGAAGACCTGTGTACCTGGGTCCCATTGCCCAAGGCAATCAAATGCCTCCATCTGCATGAGGGCTTTCAGGCCAAATATGTCCTTGTCCACTGTGCTGCTGAAGGATATTGCCCACAAAGAGCTCTAAGCTTCATTAAGGCAATACCTGGTCCCTCGTCACAGCCTCTCTCTGCCACCACTTACCTTATCATACTTAAAGAGGCTGTCCAGGAACTTCCCTGGGTCCTGGAGAAGGCCCCTGCCTGGCTCCCAGTAGTCATCTACCTTGGAGCCTAGCTTTTCTCCTGCAACCCTTTTGGGCTTGATTCCTTTCATAATGCAGACTGCTTCAATCACCATCTTCACACCAAGGGGAGGCCGCTGCATTGCTCGTACCTTCAAAACCCAAATGGAGACAGTGAGTTGGCCTGGTTTTCTGTGAGATAGGGTGCTCATCCCTCAGCTGGCCCAGGAGAGACTGGACACTTAGGGGATGCAATGTGCAGGCGGGAAGGACAGAGGTATCTGAAGGGAAAGATGGTTATTGGAAAGAGCATGGAGCAAACTATAGGTAGGCTGAAAAAGCCTGTCCTGATGCTCTGATATGTATGTCTTGCAGGGTGGACATTTCTTGGCAAAGGGGCTAGATCTGTATGGCCCTGGGGAGGAGGCTGTATGGAAATGGAACATGGGCAGGCTTTCTCCCTTGCTCTGTGGGCTCTCATTTGTCTTGCACCCCACCATAGCAATGCTGCAGCCTGTGAGCTGGTCTGCAGCACTTGTGGAGGGACTGCTTGAGTCTCTGCTCAAGCAGGCAGCTAGGAGTGTTGCTATGGCACCCTTGAGATGGCTGTGGGTGTCAGGACCCATAAGAATGACTCCTGCTTTTTCCCTTCTAGTGTTGACCATCCTTGCCATGTTCAGCCAGACACACACCCAGGCCTTCCCACTGGACACAGTCAACAGAGGGGCAGAGTTTATGGCAACACTGTCATTGGTCTACCCCCATGCAGATGCCTTCTGTGAGAGGGACTTTGACTGGCTCTACGACTGCCCTCAGACAAAGCAGTTCCTTGAGTGGTTCTGCAGCACGGTGGGTAAGGAGAACGTGTTGAGCCCAGCTGAGGTGGAGGCCTACGATGCCCTGCTGGCTGCAGGCAAGCCCATCCTAGAAGGCCATGCCCTTGAGCAGGCATTGCAGGTATGCCGCCAGGTCCCACAGCTCCCAAGCGTGATACTGGATGATGAGAGTTGCTCTCTGGAGGCCCTGAAGCAGGAGCTTCACGAGCTTCAGGACTATCGTGACCGTCAGCTCTGGCGGCACAGAAAGCTGCAGGTTTGGGCAGCCAACCTTCAGTGGGAGCTGAGGTATTTGGAGGAGGAGGAGAAAGTGGTGAAGTGGGACTTGAGGAAGGCTCAGAGGGACCTGGAAGTGGAGGTCTTCCAAACCAGTGCTGTCCTGAACCAGGTCAGCAAGGCTGCAATGCAGCTGGCAAAGTGGTGTGAGGACATGGGGAAAGGCCGTCCACCAGCATTGCTGTGTGAGATGGATCTTGGCCCTTACATGCAGCTAGAACAAGAAGCCACTGATGTGTTTGAGAGGCTCATCCAGCAGGTCCAACTGGGGAGTGCCCAGGTTCCAGATGCTCGGGGAGCAAGTGCACAGGGAGAGACCCAGAAGGAGAGGCTGGAGGCTGGGATGCAGATGGATTCAGACTGGGAAGTACCAGAAGGAAGAACTCCTTATCAAGAGTGTGCAAAGACACCGTGGTGGGTGGCACCAGCAAGTCAGGGAATACTGGTCCAAGGCTCAAGGGGAAAGCAGCTAGTGGAGGGGAGGGATGGCAGAGAGGTGTTGAGCATGGGGCATGAGGAGGTGAGAGATGGCAGCCAGGAAGCCACAGAGAGAATGGATGCCAAGCAAACAATGCTGAAAAGCCTTGGGACTGACAGAGATGAGCTACTAGAGGACCAAGACAGCTACTGGAAGGAGCTGGGGCAAATGGAGAAAGCACGTATCTGTGCCCAGAGGGAGGTCATAGTCATGTCAGCAAAAGTGGAAGCCAACTGTGCTGCGCTGGAGTGGGCCCAGAGGACTCTGGAAGCTCTCGAGAAGAACCAGGTAGGTCCAGTGCTCCCTCTCCTCCACCATCCTCTATGGCAGGGTCTGCCTGTGCTGCGGGCAGTCCCTCCTGTTGAACACTGGAGCACAGCTGACATGCCAGGCGGGGGTGGCACAGCCAGGCAGCACTAGTGGTGCACCCTGACACCAGCCTGTCTTGTCTTCCTCCTGCACAGCATGTAGTCAAGGTGGAGCTCCGGAGCCAGGCTGCCATGCTTCAGAAGCAGCTTCACGCCCTGCGTTGCGACATCACACAGACCCTGACCCACCAGCTGCCACCCCTGCTGAAGGCAGAGGCTCGCCTTTCTTGCCTGCCCGTCCTGCAGAGGCAGCTCAGCCTGGAAGCTGCCCATCTGCAGTCCATTGCCAGGAGGCAGGAAGAGGCAGCTGCGTGGTTGGTGAACCAGCACAGCCGCCTGAATCTGCTGGAGCTCCAGCTGAAATGGGAGAGAAAGGAGATGGACCAGAAGGCTGCTTGGCTGAGGGAGATGGAAACTGCCATGAAGGAAGCCCAGACCAGGCTGCAGGCGCAGCAGAACTACTTCAAAGAGGCCAGATCCTCCCAGAAGGATTGTCCACGCATATGGATAGACCCCAAGGACCTCTGTGCTCTACGGTAAGGGCCTCTGTGTGTGTGTGCATGAGGAACAAACTAGATGTGGAGGAGGTGGAATGGGAATGGGAGAGGCAGGTGGCAGACCCAAGCTACCAGGCAGTCTAGCAGTGCTCTTCTACCAGAGCCACCCTGACTCCATGGTGGTGCAAAATTCCCCAGGAGATGGCATCTGCTTCTTTCTGGCTGGCTAGGGCTGATGCAGCAAAGCATGGGCTTGGAGAAGGGAATGAGAATGGAAAACAGAGGTTTTCCTATGATGTGAAGGTGGACAGTGCAGGGACAAGTCTTTGGCCATGGAGAAGGAGAGCTGGGCCAGAAGGAAGCACAAGTTCCTTGGAGCAAGAGCTTTCTCTGAGTCCTCTGCACTGACAGCAGCTTCTCACTCCTCCCTGCACAGCTGGTGCTGGTGTCTGCCAGCAAGGAGTATCTGACTGGACCTTGAGCCAGCCTGCTTCTTTATGGTGCTCTTCCAGGACCTCCAGGACATGGGCTGCTCACCAGGAGTGGCTGTCCTCTCATTGTTGCCCCACAGCTGCTTGCATCCCAGTCACACAGGTGCACAATGTCACCTGAACCCTGTTCTTCCTCTGCTGGCACACTGCTCACACCTCTGGCTGGCTGTTCCCTCTTGCAGGCTCTGGGACATGCTGGTGGGGCAAGATCAGGAGAAGCAGATCTTCCGCAGCTATAAGACCATAGCAGCCCAGTGCTCCCAGTTGGTTCAGGACCAGAAGGTGCTGGAAGCGCAGCTGGCAGCTCCTATGCCCCAGCTTCCTGCCCTGGAGTCCTCCACAGAGGTGCTCTACCGGCTGCTGTACAACAGCTCGAACCAGCTGCAGCTCTCCTCTCCGGTAAGTGAGCACTCCTGTTCCACCAGGCCTTGCTGGGTGGCTGTGGGGCACCTCTGTGCCATCCTCCCTGGGTGCAGGGGGGGGAACTTAACTGCTCTCAGCCCACAGAGGGAGAGGAAGCTGGGCTGATCCTTGCCTTGTCCCAAAAGCTATCCAGTGAGGCAGTGACTGGCTGAGGGACAGAAGAGATTCTCACCGTTTCACATGTGCTGTTAGGTATAGAGATTGGGGTGCCTTAGCCAAGGTGGCCCAGTAAGCTACCTCTGTTCCTTGGACTGGATGTGTTTGGAGGCCAGAGCCAGCTGGGTAGTTTGCTTCTAGTGGGCTGAGCTGTTCCATAGGTGGGAGAAAATCCCCCTCGTTCTGCATGTTCACATGTGTTTGGGTTCTGCCCCTCAGGAGATGACTGAGCTGATGCAGCAACTGACAACCATGGAGGACAACCTCTACCAAATGCTGACAGACCTCCTGAGTGACTTGAAGGTCAAGCGCACATCTCTGCAGAGCCCTATCCTGCAGACAGAACGCAACCTTTATGTATATTTTTACTGCAATGAGGATCGGCTGAGAGAGGTCGTGGAGAAGCTGGAGGAGCAGGTGTCAGCTTTCTCCAAGAGACCACTGACAGAGCTGCCCTATGCAAAGCAGTAGGTCAAAGGGATGCTCGTTCCCTGCCATAGAAGTTGTGTCCTCTTGCTTGGGCTGGGTCATTAGCCCTGGACTGGGAGAGAACTCTGGTGATCCCGGCTCCAGTGACAGGTTACTTGGGTCATGGCCCAGCAGCTGGGCTTAAAAGCAACAGGGAGCTTATTCCTTATACAAAGAGTTCCCTGAAGCTGGTGGGTGGGTTAGATGATGTGTAAGAAACTGATGTATCTTGTGAGTTGGCACTGGAAGCCTTGTATTGAGAGGAGACTTTTCATGCCAAGCTCTAAAAGAGGATAGGTGTTGGGGGCAAGTGGACCAACACTGTCTGTGTCTTTCCCCACCTTCTGGGGAAAGGAGTTTTATGTGTTTTGTGTGGAATAAAAAGGTCTGTTATTCACAATTGCAGAGCAATAAGCTCGTCCCTCCCCATCACAGCTGTTACACCTGTGTGGTGAAATCTTGTACTTGCTGAGTTTGCTCTCTTGGCTACGGGCGGTGACACTTGCCAGGCTTGGAATCACCCTCCTTTCTCTGACTATCCTGTTTCAAGTATTCCTTGAAGTCAGCCCACTAGCCACTGCCTCTTCCTCTTCTCTGCCTGTGGTGAGTCCCCTTTCAAAAGAGCCTGCTGGTTCAGACTGCACTGCTAGATCCGTCCCTGTGCTGTGCTGTCAATACGTGGGGTTGTACTGTAGTGCTGCCTGCTGTCTACCCCCACAGACAGGCACTGTGGGGCGAGCCCTCCTCAACACCCTCTCTGGCACAAGTTGGAAACAACATGTAGGAACACCCAGGAGCCAGTTGCTGCCTCTCTGCTCTTCAAGAGTCCTTGCTTCTGAAGGAGTGAAGCTGAGAAGCTGCACGAGCAGCTGCCCAGACTGTGAGCCTAGGGGGACGGATGGAGATGCTGGAAAAAGCTGGGGATGCTGCAAGCCTATAGAAGGGGAATTGCTGCAAAGTGAGAGGCCGTTCAGGACTAGACCTGGGGCTCTGCCACCCTCCCCCTCAACCCACTTACCTCTGTAACATCACTTTTGTTGAGGTTCCTCAGGCTGGCAAGAGCAGCATCCAGGGCTGGGAGGGCTTCAGCCAAGTCCTTCTGAGCATCATCTGCAATAGCTTGGGCTGCCTGAGCTTTCACTTTAGCCTTCATCTCCTCAGCCTGCACAGCTTTTCTTGTCTCTTCAGCCAGAGCTGTGTCCACCTGCAACACCAGAGACAGCCTCAGAAGCATGCTGGAGCCAAAGCCCCCCCCTTTGGCTTGGCTCAGCACTGCAAGGTAAGGATCACAGTTGTCCTGGCAGGTGATGCATTTTCTTCCAGCAGAGACATAGAATCATAGAATCATTTTGGTTGGAAAAGACTTAAGATCATCAAGTCCAATCGTTAACCTAGCACTGCCAAGTCCAGCCACTAAACCATGTCCCTAAACACCACATCTACATGTCTTTTAAATACCTCCAGGGAAGGTAGCTCAACCACTTCCCTGGGCAGCTTGTTCCAATGATTGATAACCCTTTTGGTGAAGAAATTTTGCAAATATCCAATCTAAACCTCCCCTGGGAGGAACCTTCCCCTGCAGGAATTAGCTGCTCTACCAATTTTTCCTGTTGGCACAGGGAGAGGATGCCTAGGGCTGCAAATGTGTAGGGAGATGAATAAGAAGATATGCTGAGGGTTTAGTTTCTAAAACTGTCACTTTTGCCTACCCCCAGGGTTAAAATGCTACCAGGAGGTGTAAAGGGAACATGAAGCATAGCCAAATCCTTATCTGCTATATGGAAACATGGGAGACTGCAGACTCATGCAGAGCTGTATGATGTTAGTGTCTCTGTTCCCTCTGTCTCAGCCTGGCCATCCCACAGTAGAAGACAGACAGGAACACAAGGAGGAGGGAAGGTAGTGACAGCCAACACAGGACAGTTCCCTCTTTTGCAGTGGCATGAGTGACTGTGATGATCTCCGAGGTTTGGGCTAGCAGGGGCAGGCTGCAGCTGGATCAGCCCCCTGGGAATGGAATGTGGGTGAACAATCCCTTTCAGCAACAATAGTTTGGGCTTAGAGCTGCTCAGGCCACCTGAGGCTTGTGTTAGTAGTGTTGCTAGTCTGTGCTTGCAAGGGTCTAAACCAGTGAGGAAAAGGAGCTGGGAACTTGGCTGACTAATCCCTGGGTTGTCATTTCAGAGGGGGGCAAGTGAGCCCTCTCTTCTGCTAGCAGCAGGCTGGTAGGTTGTGACTGACCCCACCAACACCAGAGCAGGGACCCCAGCAGAAGGCCATTCTTGCTGGCAGCGCTGCTCTGCATGAACACCTGCTGTGCTAATCTGAAGCCTTTTTACTGTCAGATCAAGCAGGATTTCATACAATTCCTGCAAGGCCTCCCCAAGCCCTGTGTCCCTGTCTGAGCAGTCGGATTTGCAAAGCACAGGGCTGTCCAGCAGCGGTACCTGCAGTTGCTCCATGGTTGCCAGCGTGTCCTTGGCTGCCTGTGCCAGGAGAGGGCGGGCAGACTCCAGCTCCTCCTGCATCCTCGCTATGTTCTCTGCTGTTTGCAGGAGCTGTGGGAGTAGAGCAGAGTAAGAGCACAGGCAGCAGCCACAGAAAGCCCCAGGAAAGGGCTGTGCTGCCCTGGTGGGTGCTCCCTGCCCACTGTCAGGCTGTACAAAGCAGGTATTGCCCTAGTCTCTGCTTAAGCATCAAAGTGGCACTGTGGAGTGGTTATGACCAGTGGTGCCTCCACATGATGGGTGTTACTTTGTAAGCTCATGGCAATCAGTCAGCAGAACAATGTTACTGTTATAGGGCTTTCAATAAAAAGGTTAATAAGGAACATCCTGAGAGACAATCAGCTTACACAGAGCTCTGTGGTCCCCAAAGACTGAGTACCATCATTTTAGAGCTGTTACAGACTCAGACCTTCAGAAAGAGTGGCTCTGGCAGAAGGTATAGCTCTCTTTTGCTTTAGCATGAGTTCCCTCCTGTTACACAGGAGATGCGTAGGGCATCTCGCTGCATCTCTGCAGCTACAAATACACTGCTCAGAGCAGGCAAAGGGGGCCCAAAGCTCTCCTTCCTGGGCGTGAAGGACAAACCTTGTCCAAGCCACTCTTCATCCTTTTCTTGGCTGTCTTCAGTTCTTGTTTCTTCTTTCCAATCAGGGAACTGAAGATGCTGAGGAACTCGAGGTAGCTCTTGGGAGTGACATAATTGTGTCTGGCCAGCTCTGCCAGGTACACTTGGCATTTCTTTGCCACGCTCTGATGGATTTCTACACACACTTGAATCTACAAGGAGAAATGAAAGAAACAATCTTATTCAGTACTGAACATGTGGTAGGCAAGTCTAGGTGATACCCACAGAGTGCAAGGGGCTTACAAAGAGGCTAAGTATAGTCACAGAAGAGCTTGTATGGGCTTCAATGCCATACAGAGAGAGGGCGACAAATGGAAACGGCCATTTCAAGGCATACAAAAGCTAACCAGTTCTGTATTTGAATGACCCTGCCATGAAACATTTCTGCTACAGGGCAAGACCTTTCTGTAGATGTGTCCTGCATCCACTGTCTATGTGTATCTAGAAACATGGCACATTGAGCGTACAGGAGCTGTGTTTTGTGTGTTGTGTGTGGCACCTACCATCACATCAACATCTTCAGTACTGGCACCAAGATGTGGGATCTCATGCAAGAAGGAGGAGGCAACGCACTGCAGGGCTTCAGCAGGCCACTCATTAAACCAGTCAATGGTACAGCAGTTCACAAGAGAGGGGAACTGTCTCAAGCGTGCACGGAAGACTTCTCCAATAGGGCTGAGGGAAAGATATACAGAAAAGAGATGTTACAACTAGCTACAGATACCAGGATAAAATAGCTTTCCTATTTCCCTAGAACCATCCTAAACTCTTACAGAGTAAGAAGGAAGAGGCAATATACCTAAGGAAGGAGGAGGGAGGGAAATAAGAAGTGAAAGTTCAGCACTGAGCTGCAATGACAGCTTGCTCCTTGGAAGTCCTGGGTATATTCTGGAAGTATTAAGATGGCAGTGGGGTGATGTTTTCTGGGTCCCCTCCCCAGAGAGAACACTTAAGGAGGAAGAAATAAATGTGATCTGAAGTTTATTTCAAGCAGGTAAGTGCAGATATCGTATCACCAGACAAAAATCACGCCCCTGATTCTTCCACTTGTACTTGCACTGAGAATGCCCTGCACGTTCCGGCAGGCCTTCTGCAAACAAGCAAGCTGCTCATGGACTGTGCACTAGATTCACAAGTAAACATGGTGCAATTGAGCCCCAAATTCAAGTGAGATATTTTTCTAACAAACAGCTCAATGGTGCATGAAGGAGGAGGAAGCTTGTATTTAATCTGGATCACATATATTCTTAAACTTTTCAAACTTCATCTTCAAACAAGCAAAGTGTAAAAAAAAACCAAACCCAAAACTATCCAGTCCTATGGGAAAGTGGTATGCAAACCTTACTTATCCTCTGAAGTCAGGGGCTTGGAAACAAAGATCCCATGACAAAGTGATGCAAGGCAAAGGACAAGGAGGGAATAATTAATACTGACAGCATGGAGTCCTACTCCTGAACTGTACCTCATGCACAGCACCATATGGATATTGCTGCGAACCCGTCCTGTGTACGCAGCCATCAGATTGGCCTTGGTGGGCTGCTGCCCTAGATCTCGAACAACGGGCTTCATAGCTGTCATGATTTGTTCTTGATCATCGGGGTTGTAAATATTGGGAATGTCACCTGAGTTGAGCAGGTTGTTGATATCCTCAAGGAAGGATTCATTTTTAATCTAAGTAGATTACAGGGGAAAAAAAAAAAAAAAAGAAAAAGTGGTTTCCTAAGTCATAAGACAGTCATATCTCCACATGCCAGGAAGATCACTTCTAGATAAATATAGCCTTCAGTGTCTGTCATAAGAAATCATATGTGTGATCACTTGGCTCCAGTAAAGCATACTCTGACCCTTGTCCAGCACAGCTTTTCCAATTGAACAGCCAAGTTCAGCCATGTCAAGGGTGGGGGTGTGAGTCTGAGAACAAACCTCCTTCTGCCCATTCACTGTGTCCTTACAGACAAACCAAGGTCAGGGCCTTGCTCCCTGCCTCGCAGTGACTCTGGAACCAGACACCAGGTTGCTCTGGGTCTTTGTTTAGCACAGAACACTTCACTATTAGGATAAAGCTCATCAATGTGGGAGACAGAGTAATTGTAGGGATGTGTCACGGTCTGTGGGATGATCTCCCTCCAGAGCTACACTCACCTCTCCACCTTTGCTAAATCAGAAATACACAGCATCCATCTCCTTGACTAAACGCACCCTCCCATGCCCCTCTTCTCCCACATATGCTTCTCACTGCAGGAAAAAGGGTGCAAGAACAAGCAGCATTTGACAGATGCTCATCTCATTGCTTAGGGCACTGCCAGAAGGGACTTGGTTCCTATCATAATGAAGGCAGTAAAAAAGCCTATGGGGAGCATAACCGTGAATTCCAGAAGTTGTCCTAGTCATTAGCGAGTTACAGCTTACAGTAACAAGCCAACATGATCCTGTGGAACCAGCAGGCATAAGGCCCTAAATCTACTGGTGTTTTGAAAAGAGAGAGAATTATGTTACTTAGGGCTTCTAGCATCAGTGGTCAGCCTAGTGCTTAGCTTCAGGAAGCTGGGTCTAAAACCTTTGATGCCACCAAACCCTTGGATGGAGCTGAAAGAGACTTCCTCGAGCAACAGAAGAGCCACCCCACTCACACATGGCTCTACGGTCCCTCTAGCAACAAATGCACCACCTTTAGTTTCCCTGGGGCTTTTTTATAAGATGATGAAGGTGGGCTACTTAAGAAATACAAGTTGTGCCTGCTTTGTATCAAACTCCTCAATCCTCTTTAAAGGGATTTATTGAGCTTAGAGATGTGTTTCTGACTCCTTTTGAAATGGAGTCCACCACGCTAATACTCCTGTACCTGCGTGTCTATGAATAGGAACGTCTTGGGTAGACTTTGAAGGCCTGCCTTCATCAAGATCTTCCTCACATCATCTCGCCATTCGGTCATGCCATAATTTTTGGACAGTTCGATCTGGAAACACTCATAATCTGCCCTAAAAGAAAGAGAAGCCTGTGGAGTTACAGCAAATTAAAATCTACTCTTTTGTCAGTCCAGAGTGTGTGTTGTAGACTCAGGGGAAGAGGACTCAAGCAAGTTGTTTTCCTGCAATGAGTCCTGAGCACATGCCTGTCCTTGTGCTTGTTCAGCCACCAACTCAAGAGCATGTTTTACTCAAAGCAGAGAATCCTGAGCTAGCTAGAAAACAGAAGTGCAACTCCATGAGCTAACAGACTCTCATTGCTTCTTGGACACAGTGCCTTAAAGCGCACAGGGAGCAATTCAACATGGATTTTTTTGTGATGCTGCCCTCAGAGGCTGGTGCACCTGGGAACGATGGTTGCATTTCTCTAGGATCATACCCTGTATTCAGAGCTGGAAGAATTTTCTTCCTCAGCCTAGTTCCCTGGCTTTTCAAGTTTTCCCCTTGAGGCCCCCTGGCTCCCAAAACTCACCAGTCCTGCTTGCCCGGCTGCCAGTGTCACTTGATCGCTTGTCACTAACAGCTCCTGTCCTTGTCTTCCTGCTGCCCAGCTCACAGGAAAAGCCCAGATCTCTTCCCCTGCCCTGCTGTGTGCTGCACATTCCACCATGGGGACATGCTGCATTTGCTCATTCACTGCATGCCCACAGCAGTAACCCAAGCTACTAGCAGGCAAAAAAGTTCAATTTTTCTAGTGTAGATGTGCATGTTAAGAGCCATAGCTCTTGAGTGTTAAATCTGAAGAGTCAGCAACCAGAAAAACATGTAACCAATAGCAGGAAGGGCAGGAAAAGAGACTCTCTAGAGGCAACCCCAATGGAGCTGCTCCACATTATATGCATAGGAGTGCATTACTTACATGTGAGATGCCAGTCTGGTGAGAGACTGTCTCCCACTTCCCCCAACACCCAGGAGAAGAGCATTCCCTGTAGCCTGCCGCAGGATCCGGCTGATTCGGCAAATGTGCTGTATCGCATCCATGAAAAGCACAAGCTTCAGCTCTGGGGTGTTGATTTGATTGTACTCCTCCAGGTAATCCTCAATCACAACCTTCAGCTGTGGGCAGAAACAGTAAATTGTGGCTACCAGATAAAAGCAATTGTGAAGGGACAGGTGGGTCTCTCCAAGCACAGCCAGGCCTTTAGGAAGGCAGAGCCTGGGGTTTAGC